AGATACAGGTGTGTGGGTGCATGTCCTGTATACATGTAAACTAGTATAGATGCATGTGCGTGCATGTGCTGTATGCATGTAAATGTACTATAGATACAGGTGTGTGCATGTGCGTGCTGTATGCATGTAAATGTACTATAGATACAGGTGTGTGGGTGCATGTCCTGTATACATGTAAACTAGTATAGATGCGTGTGCATGCATGTGCTGTATGCATATAAATGTTCTAAAGATGAACATGTCTGTGTGTATGTGCTATGCATACTGTAGATGCACGTGTCTGCATGTATGTGCACATGCACATACTATACACATATACATACTTTAGATACATGTGTCACGCATATATGTGCATGTTCACACGGTATACACACATGTGCATACGAGGTTGGGCAATTACATCCACAAACTCATGCTGGAAAAAGCGCTCCGTGCCTTCCTGCTTATCATCACTACAGGCAACCCTGAAGTCCTCCCGTCGGGGAGCTGTGCACTGACACCTGTGCCTAGTCCACCCTTCAAAGCACTTTCTCTAGGATGAGTTTGCAACTTAATTTTCAAACCTCATATGACAACAGCTTTGATGGCTATTCCAGGAAAAGAGTTCTAAATTGCTTTGAAGGCTGGACTAGGTGCCGGGTACGGGAGTGCTCTGGAGGTGACTATAGTGATATTCAGCATAAGGTATGTACCACTTTCTCTAGGATGAGGTCTTGAACTTAATCATTCAAACTCATGTATACATAAATGCACACATATACACAGACCACGTACATGCTGTACACACACAGGAAAACAGTGCATACACATGCATGATGCACATGTGTACACTATACACACACACATATGCATATGTCTGCACATACAGATACACACACACACACACATGCATACAGACAGACACGTTCACATATACAGACACACCACAATATGATCTACACACATACACACTATACCATGCACATGCTACACATATACACACACACATGCACACCACATATAAACATGCATATATAAATAGCACCATACATAATCAGACATACATACATATGCAAAAACTTACACACATTGTATTCATGTAGACACACATGAACAAATACACACTATACACGCTAAGCACTGTACACACATGTGCAGTTACACACAGGCACATGCATGCTGCCTATATACACATGATATGCATATACACCACATATACCTGCATATAGGTAGGCACATATACACAAATACAAACTATACACATGTGCATGCATGCATACACATGCAAAATACAAGCCTACATATATGCATGCATGTGTGGGCAGGTACACACATATAAACACATGCTAGATGCACAGTCAAGCAGCACACACATACATACTCTACGTGTGCAGGGAGGTCATCAGCCTGGCCAGGCACAGAGCTGAATCCAACCCAGACCATGAGCAGCACCCAGGACCCCTCACCACACCTCACCCTCCTTCTCCATATCCACACACTGGGGCCTGCTGTGGTGTGAGCTGTTGCCTCTGGTGAGAATACTCTCTTTGGGGTACATTAGGAAGAAAGAAAAAGGTGAGAACCATTAAATCCCCTGAGATTGTTCACACATCCTCTATTCTGCAACAGCCGGCCTTCTTTGCAGCAGATTGCGCTAACTTGCAGACTGTGCGCTGGAAACTAACCCTTAGGCAGAACAATAGACATTCTCCAAGGAGAGCAAATCAGGACAAGAGCTCCGATGTGTCTTCCTACTGCGAGGTCTCAAGCTCCTCCAAAGGACAGTGAGGTTTTGCAAGAAGCATGAGTCCTGGCCGTGGGCACATGGATGACAGGGACGCTCCCCCCCATTCACACTTCTCCCTTCAAGCTGCAGGAACGCAGCCCATCACTGCCCACAGCCCAGCCGCTGCCCACAGCCCAGCTCCCCCGCCCCAGGTCTGTCCTGCTTCCTGCTTCAGCAGCTTGGAGAAGTGAGCACATGATGGGGGCACAGTAAATATTCACGGAGTGAATATTCACGGTAAACTGTCAGGTACAGCTACCTTTAAAGACCATGCTATCATCATAATGCAACACGGGCTCTGCTCCTTGTTGGAGATATAAAAAATACAGAAAGAATAAAGAGAACAATGTGAACGCCCATCATCTGACTTCATTTTCTATCTCATTTTTTGAACTTGTTAATAAGTTATATGTCTGTTCTCATAACACGTTTTAATCATGGACCTTCTGTCATGACCTGGCCAGTGCTCTTCTTAAAGATCAGCTTAAAAAGGAAATTTCTTAAAATTCTACATAATTATTGCTACTGTTCAATAATCCAAACAAATCCCACTTGTTCTCTCTGTAAGCTGGGAAGTGGAAAGACCCCAAACCAAAGCTGCTCAATTTTTCAGTGACAGTTACAGAACCCGCACCAGTAAACCCTGATAATTATTTATCGACTAGTGCACAGGCTTCTCAGATTGGAATCACCTCATTAAGTAGGTTGCTCCCGCAATGAGATTGTCGAGAACCCTCTGTCCAGCCTGCGGGGACTCTGGCATTGAGCAGGCACCCTGACGTGGAAGGTTAAGTGACCGTGAATATTAGGCACTCACTAAAATGACTTTATAACATGAAAAATATTCACATTTAATTTTAATATTAAATAAAAAGATGTGAATTTACATATGCAATGTAATTACAACAAAGCAAAAAAGGGACATGAAAAAGGAAATACACCCAAACAGTGGCTCTCAGATGACTTTCTCACGGCTTTTATATATTAAGTCCATACAAATTCTATATCATGAGCATAAGTTACGGTTATATACCAGAAAAAATTGGAACAAGGTAGCTTCTTAATGCAGCCCAAATTCAGCTTCATGTTGCCACGTGGCTTCTGCCTCGATTCCCCTCCCTGGGTCTGCCTGCCTGTCTGCAGCCTTTTATGGCTTTGTGCCCCCCCCAGCACTCAGCCCCAAGGAGACATGTGACATCGTAATCAAAGGACGGGAAACAGCTCAGCGAGTTAGGCTATTCTGTGCCCAGCAGCCTCATTCCTGTGAGGAGATCTGGAAATATTCACACCGTGTAGTCACCTGTGCTCGCACTGGCTTTGGAGAATGAGGTGCTGATGAGAAAGAGTGAGGAGAGCACCAACCAGTGAGGGTGACAGATGGCGGAGGTGACAGGCATGGGCGTCCACATCGATGTGAAATGAGGAGCCTGCACTGTGTGTGCACAGAGCTCAACACCATTCCTCAAAAATACATGGATGAAATGACATCAGGGAAATGAATGTTCCACCTTAGGCTGAAATACGAACTCATCTATCTGCACAAGAAAATTGAGGGACACCCATTTTATCACTGTGTAAATTTTATAAATAGTTCAGTGTAACAAAATAAGTAACAATTTATCCATAGCATGTCCAACTTTCATATGAAATATACTAATGAAGTTAAAATAATAAGCACTTTGTATTTCTAAGATAACCCCAGAACTCTAGGAAGCAGGGAAGCCATCCCCCCTTTCTTAGATGAGGAAACACCTCAGGGTCCAGCCCGCCCTCTCCAGCTCTCTGCTCACCAGGGCCAGCTGCACCAGTCCTGCCCCTGCACCCCAGGGCCCGCTGGGTCTCTCCAGGACCTACGGGAGCCGGGTCCCCGTGACTCCCTGCCTCACTCACTCGTGTATTTGCTCAGCAAGTGCAGGTGGAGCATGCAAGTCAGAACAGCAGAGAAAGGGTTCTGGAGAATGGGCTGCAGACAGGGGCACATAAGAATTATATTGAAATCTTCCTGTAAAGTTAGTTAATAGCTCCACTTCTACCCACTTATTCTAGAGAAATATTCATTGACATGTACAGAAGATATGAGTATAAAAGTATCTTACACACCAAGAAGAAAACAAACAGAAAAGGGTTAAAAAAAGACGAGCCCCCAAAGAACAAAAAGACACAAAAGAAATGCAGATGACTTTCAGACACGTGAAAAAGTGGCCCACCTCATTCACAGAAAGAGAGAGGCAAAGAAAAAGCACTGGGAGCATTTCACCACCACCGGGAGCATGTCACCACCACCGGGAGCATGTCACCACCACCGGGAGCATGTCACCACCACCGGGCTAGCAGCACGTCAGGCAGAGACGATGGGATCCCACCCTTTGGGAGAGCAATTTGGCAATATTTACCAAAATTCCAAATGCACACACATTTTGATGTCACAATTACACTGCTAGAAATTTACCTCCAAGCTATATTCAAACACAACAGTGACATATACACGAGGTTACTCACTGCAGCGAGCACCCAGGAAAATGGGAATCCCCAGTAACCCGGGATAAATTCATGCTATGGAAGACCAATAGCTGCAGCGAAGAATGAAGACAATTCTGTATGGACTCACATGGAGTCATCTTCAAGACACGTCACTAAGCAGAAAGAGAAAATGCAAAACTATACGTGTGTTATGCCACTGTTTGTGCAAAGCAGGGGAGGAACCCACTGCACACGTGCCTCCCAATTCATAGAATCTCTATAAAGACAAGATAGCAATTACAGGAAAGAGACTCTTCACTGTCAATGCCTTTTGGTATAGTTAGAAATTTGAACTATGTGAATGTCTCATTTTTAATTAATCTTTTATAATTAAAGGAAAAATAAGACATAAAAGTCAATACTTGGCTCGGTGTCTGTAGTTCAGTGGTTAGGGCACCAGGGTGGCGGTTTCAACCCAACCTGGGCCTGCTAAACAATGACAAAACAACAAAAAAATAGCTGGATGTTGTGACAGGTGCCTGTAGTCCCAAATACTTGGGAGGCTGAGGCAAGAGAATCATTTAAGCCCAAGAGTTTAAGGTTGCTGTGAGCTGTGATGTCCCAGCACTCTACTTAGGGCGACATAGTGAGACTCTGTCTCAAAAAAAAAAGTCAGTACTTGAGGTTGATGGAGGGATTAATTGCAAAGGTCACAAGGCATTTCTGGTGGTGACAGAGTGCTGCAGACATGACTATGGCGAGAGTTCCACAAGTGCACGCAACTGTCAAAACCAAGTGCGATGTACACACTTCCAAAGGAGTGTCCATAAATTACCTCAAAAAGGTAAAAAAAGAAAATAGTGCATGGGCTTAAATGTACATATTCGATTATCTTTATTTGTGTCATGATATACAGAGGATCCCAGAACGATGCATACACATTTTAAGAAAGGGAAAAACTGTATTAGAATTGTAATATATATTTGACTTCTGCAATTATAAGAGGTGCGTGGCATGGCTTGTATTTATCTTCTCTGATCAGTATATATGGAGTATTACAATTTTAGTACAGTTTTTTCCTTTCTTAAAATGTATATACATTTGGGGGGCATGCTCTATGTTTGTTTTTTTTTAAGCTGGAAACAATTTAACTCTCCAAGGGTACGAGATTGGTTGAGGGATTGGCCAGATAATTACAGTATGTATTCTCATGGAATGATGTGTAAATATAGAGAAAGCATTTCTACAGATAATTTTCAATGATGTGATAAAAATAATTTAAACCCATAAAAATAAGTGTATCCTGGCCAGGCATGATGACTCACACCTATAATCCCGGCAATCTGGGAGGCTGAGGCAGGAAGGTTCTTTGAGGTCAGGAGTTCGAGACCAGCCTAAGCAAGAGCAAGACCCCATCTCTACCAAAAATAGAAAAACTATCCAGGCATTGTGTGGAAGGTGACTGTAGTCCCGGCTACTTGGTAGGCTGAGGCAGGGGGATGGCTTAATCTGGAGAATTTGAAGTTGCTGTGAGCTATGATGATGCCCGGCACTCTAACCAGGGCAACAGAGTAAGATTCTGTCTCAAAAATAAATAAATAAACAAGTATATCCTAAAGATACTTATATCTTTATTGAACTTTTACTGTGTGGCTACTTAGTGTGTATGATCTAGTTCCTTTAAGCCCAGCACAACCCCAGGAGCCAGGCAGAATCACACTATTTCACTCATGAGGAAACAAGTTCCAGGTGGTCCACTCCCATGAGCCATCTGTCCCCTCTCCACCACGCCACCACAGATCACTGCTGTACAGCTCTCATTCACTGCCCACAAGGGATCCTGCACATGGTTCCCAGTTTACAGACGAGGCCTGGAGGGGCCCACAGCGGCACTGAACTTCCAGGATGCATTTCCTTTCTGGGGCACTGTAGGCTGGCACCAAGGGCACTGTTGGAACAGCCCCTGGTGGTCCCTGCCCCTGAGCCTCACACCCCACCTCCCAGAGACCCCAGGAGGTGGCACCTGCTCTCTGGAACCACCACCTCCTCCCGACAGTGCCAAGAGTGGCAGGTACCTTTCTCTCCCGTAGGGCCGACTCTTCCGGGCCGTCCTGGGGCACCTTTGTCTCCTTTCTCTCCGGCATCCCCTGTGGAGGAAGTCACATCAGTTTAGCAACTCGCTCTGTCCAGCACAGCACTCCCACGGGACAAGTGGGGAACAACTGGAAAGGCTCCCTCAGCTCCGCCTCGCAGCCCAGCCTGAGGTCACTCTGTCCCTCAGGCGTCCCTCTTCGCCTCCCCACTTTCTCCCTCAGCAGTGTCTCTGTCCCTCTGGGCTGCCTCCCAGCCTGTCCCCTGGCACTTGATGCCCCAGTATCATTCCAGCTGCAGCCTCCACCCACCCTAACACTTGATGTGGTTTGAATATCCCCTAATCACATGCCGAAATTTTGATTCCTATGTGGGAGGGGGGCCCTGGGAGGTGTTAGTTGTGGGTGGACCCCTCCAGATAGCTCAGTGCATAATTCTATTAGTTCCCATGAGAGCTGGTTCCTAAAAAGAGCCTGGGCCCTCCTCCTGGCTCTGTGGCTCCCTCTCTGGCCAGGTGACACAGCTGCTCCCCCTTCATCTGCTGTCTTGACTGTAAGGCCCTGAAATCCTTGCCTGGAGCAGGTGCAGGTCCCAGGCTCCTCCTACAGCCTGCAGAACCTGAGCCCCATGAACCTCTCTTCTTTGTATATCACCCAGCCTCAGAGTTCCTTAATAGCAACACGAAGTGGACTAACATGCACCCCTAAAAATCTCTAAAACACAAATGAGATAGTTATTTTTCTTCTCAAAATACATTTAAGGCTGGGCATAGTGGCTCACACCTATAATCCTTGAATTCTGGGAGGCCATGGCAGGAGGATCCCTTGAATCAGGAGTCAAGACCAATGTGAGCAAGAGAAAGATCTGTCTCTACTAAAAATAGAAAAGCTAGCTGGGTGTTGTGACGGTGCCTATAGTCCCAGCTACTCAGGAGGCTGAGGCAGGAGGAGCGCTCGAACCCATGAGTTTGAAGTTACTGTAGTCACGGCATCGTAACCTGGGCAAGAGAGTGAGACCCTGTCTTAAAAAAGAATGAGAGAAAGAGAAATCGGGAGGCTGAGGCAAGAGAATCGCCTAAGCCCAAGAGCTGGAGGTTGTTGTGAGAGAGAGAGAGAAAACCCCTAGAGTTTGTACACAGCATTCGTTGATTTGCATTATTTGCATAATTTGGGCTCCCCACAACACGGGTCAGGCACTATGTCCACTCTACCAGTAAAGACGCAGCCAAGAGAATGAAGGCCGTGACCGAGTTCTATTATACCTCCACCAGGAGAGGCTGTCATTTCAGCTGCTGCCCTGTTTTCTGGCATCAGTAAGAACACTGCCTTCTTCTCTCTCAAATAAATAAAGAAAACGTGGCCAGTACTTACTAGAGCTTGCCCTCCTGCATGTCACACATAAATCTAGGAACAAAAAGCCTGTGCCTTAGATTGCACTGGGGGTAATTTTTGACCCAACTAGAAGACACATGTCAGCTATTTTCATGCAAAACGTGAGACTCTGTGACACACCCACAGCCGGTTGAGGATGCACCAGGGACATTCCTTGACTGTCTCTATCCCTGTTTCTGAATCTGAACCAGCAAGATCTGCAGAGACCTCAGCCCTGCCGGCCACTGCAACTGCCACAGCTCCCGGCCATAGGAAGCCCGAGAGGAAAGAGCTACCCTACTCCCTCGACCACTGGGCAGAAGCACAAACCTCCACAGCACACGCACCTCAGGCCTCCTTACTGTCTTTATCAACCTTGTTTTAAGGGATGACAGTTAATGATTTTTTAATTAATTTAATAAAATCTATGACCTTTCAGATTTCTAAGCAACAGGCTTGCAGATATACATAAATGTTTTCCCACCTATGGTCAATATTTTTAACCACCAAGGAAATAGCATTTTTCCCCAACTGAAAGAGTTATCATTCTCTCTAAATGCAAAGATAATGTATTATTATTAGGCCCTGAAATGGCAAAGCAGTGTCATCACAAGCACTTCCAGCCCATGGGCTGCCTGGAGCTTGTGAGGAGCAAGCCACGGTTGGCCTGAGCAGACGTCCCAGGATCCAGAGGACAAGTGAGAGCTCTATAGGTGCTGTGTCTCCAGCTGGACGGGACTCTAAGGACACAGGCAATGGTCTATTTACAGCGCTGAGACTGGACCTGGTAAATTCCCAAGGGTGTGTGCTTATGAATGGTGGCCCTCTACATGCTTATTTCCCCTTAGAAGCATTAAATATAAGAGGGTCCTTATCTAACAAAAGCAATCAATGTAACCCAGTTCTGTGTACTCTCAATTAAAAAAAAAAAATTACATTGTGTTGGTAATTTTTCTCTGTTGAGTAATGCAATTCCTGACACATTGGATACACTGAATCCTTTCTGAGCCTCTTCTCACTCCTCAGGGGCCTGTCATCCGCTGGTGCTCTCTGGATGTCTGCAGGTGGACACCTGCCTGCTCCCTTGCTGGGCTCGTGCTCAACACAGCGTTAGCGATTGGCAAGTCACCAACCAGGACCCTCCTGGGGCTGGCCTGAAGCTGGCTGGCAGTTATGGCTGGAGGTACAGCATCCACCTACAGTAGGAAGCAGAGATTCTCAGGACCCCATTTCCCCTGCTCTCGGGTGTCCCTGCAAGGACACTGGATTGACACTGCCATCCCGGATCCACAGGAGCAGCATGTTTAGGATCAGGGAGCAGCAGCAAGGCACTCCCTCGACAGCAAGGAGCCTGTACACAGAGGGGCTGGGTCAACACACACAGGGCCCAGGCCCTACACCGAGGGTCTCCAGGGAGAGGGTGCGGACTCCAGAGAAGAAGCTCCTTCCTTGATGCCAATCTGTTTATTTTGCATTTGGCAAAAATTTGCATTAACCTTGAATCAACTGGGGCCCCACAGCCACACCCAGGAGCCACGCGCCTGGCTAACCCCATGCCTGGCATGAGTGCTGCTACCCCTTCTGGAAATTCTTAATTTTTTTTTTTATTTTGAGACACAGTCTCATAATGCTGCCCTTGGTAGACTGCACGGTGTCACAGCTCACAGGAAACTGTTGGGCTTAAGTGATTCTCTTGCCTCAACCTCCCAAGTGGCTGGGACTATAGGCACCTGCCATACACCTGGCTATTTTTTTGTTGCAGTTGTCATTGTTGTTTAGCTGGCCAGGACTGGGTTCGAACCCACCAGCCTCAGTGTATGTGGCTGTCACCCTGTGGGCACAGGGCACAGCTATGGGCACTGCCGTAATTCTTAATATTTTTAAACCTCGCAAATTTTGTAGCTGGCCCTGCTTAGGAACCACAGATTTTAGAGTCTCTTGCCTTTTAGAGTCCTATGGTTTGGAAAACTGGTTGTTTCCATAAATGGAGGAAGCATTTACTGCAGCCTGTGGGCTCTCCCATGCACTGTGGCTGCCAATTACAGACAAAGGCAATTACAGACAAAGCAGCAAGAATTTTTGTTGTTGTTTTTAAAATAAGCCCTTGGCAACCAGTATAGGAGCATCACCACAGGACCTTAGGCAAATTGCTAAATTTCTCTGAGCCCCAAAAGTCTCCAGATAACATCAGATGAGATCACTTCCAGCCAAGGATCGTGTGGGACCATGTGTGCACCACCTGACACAGACATCAGGGTCTCCCCCGGGGTCCCTGTGCACAGTCTGGGGTCCTGTGGGACCACGTGTACACCACCTGACATAGGCGTCAGGGACTCCCCCGGGTTCCCCGTGCACAGTCTGGGGTCCTGTGGGACCACGCGTGCACCACCTGACACAGACGTCAGGGACTCCCCCAGGGTCCCCATGCATAGTCTGGGATCCTGTGGGACCACATGTGCACCACCTGACACAGGCATCAGGGTCTCCCCCAGGGTCCCCGTGCACAGTCTGGGGTCCTGTGGGACCACGTGTACACCACCTGACACAGACGTCAGGGACTCCCCCAGGGTCCCCGTGCACAGTCTGGGGTCCTGTGGGACCACGTGTACACCACCTGACACAGACGTCAGGGACTCCCCCAGGTCCCTGTGCACAGTCTGGGGTCCAAATGATAGCTGTCTTCAGACTGACAGCTCAAGAAAGCCTAGACTTCATCAGCCCAACACTTGACTTCACAGATGGAGAAACTGAAGCCCACTGGGGTAAGCCCAGGGTCAGGGGGAAATCCTGGTACCTTTGAGGCCTGGGACGAGAATCTGCACAGAGCAGGCATCATCCAAAGACTGCTGAGGACATCCAGACGGCAGCAGCAACAGGAAGGCCAGGCCAATGAGCATGCCCGTCAGAGCCAAGTCCCTCTCCATCATGGGTGCAGGCAGGACATTGACTCCTGCTTGGAGGAAGGAATAAACAGTGACCAGAATTGCAGGCCAGGCAGCTGGCAATAGTGAGCAGAACATGGGCCCAGGTGGGGGTCCAGGGTCTTCCCTGGAAAGAGACCCAGTAACCCCAGGTCAGGCACAGACACCAAGTCATCCCAACCCCAGGCATGAGCCCTGGCGACACCCTGCAGTGTGCCCACCATGGACCTATTTCAGACATGGAGAGGGACTGGGCACTGGACAGCCCTGGCCCCGGGTGGTGCCTCCTGCAGTGATGGACTGTTGGAGGAGGCCGAGGGGTACCTGGGAGAAATGGCCATGCTCCAGGGGAGCCCCAAGTTAAGGATTCACTCCACAGACAGGAATCCATGCCCCACGTGTGACTGCCAGGGGTCAAGGCCATCTGCAGGGGAGCTGGGGCGGGGGGGAGCTGCACCTGGAGGAGCCCAGCAGTCTGGGAGCAGTGAGAGGACAGACTGGGGTCAGGGCTCCTGGCTCTTCACTGTCCCAGGAGGGGTGAGTATGGACGTTTCTGTGTCTTCAGGAGGGGCATTAAAACTTTGGAAACACTTTTTTTACAGAAGCTCCCGTCCAGAAGGAGGCTGAGAGGACAGCAGCTTACCAAATTAGCTGATGGTTTGGAGCAGAGACAAGAGAGAAGATTGAAGAGTGCACTTCAACCTTCCTGAGGCAAGCTGCGAGCCCAGAATTACAACCAAAAGGTACAAAATCCACCACCAAGCAGACGGAAGTCCCCTCCCCCACAACAAGGGCTCGTGCAGTTTACTCCATGCAAACAAGCGAGCAGAGTTCAAACTGCCTCCCACTCTATTCCATGGGAGAGACCCCCTAAAAACTGGACCTCCTACCCCTGCCAGCGTGCCACGGCACCCTCTGGCCAAACATAAAACTGTAAAACTGTATAAATCTGTATATATCCTCCACCTGCAACACTGAATTCCAAGGAGTCTCCACCCACCCACTCCGAGAACTGGAGGTTTATTACTTATGGAGTCCTGATACTGGGGCATCTCCTTGAGAGAAGTGCAGGGGGAAAGGGCTGGTGCTGTTCTGTGCTGACTGTGCTGCGGGCGTGAGGAGAAGAGAGTCAGCTTGGGGGACGCCGGTGCAGAAACCCCCGGCACGCCATCCTGGACAGCAGCCACAAGCAGGGTGCCCTTGACTCTCCTGGGTGGAGCCCCTGCCCTCAGGGGGCTAATTCGGCTGAGACAAAGGCAGTGGGCAGGCAGAGGCTAGAATTGACACCTGAGTTTAAAGCCGAATGCAACCTCTGACTTACAGAGAAATCTAGCCGGACAGAAGCCTAATTTAAACAGGCAAGG